GATAAGAGGATTTGTTCTTTATTAGAATTTATATCCCTTCTCCTTTTTTTAAAGGCGTTTTATCCCTATATTATCAAGCCTCTTCAGCGAAGAATATTTTCTTTTTTACGCTGAAAATCTAAATGCAAATTGTTGTATATATGAAAAAAGGTAAAATCATTTGTATAAGAGGATTGTGAACTATATTTAAAGTTGATTGTATATCTCTACTTGATAAATTAGAAACAGTTTGTGTAGCCAAATAAAATAGATGGCGCTAAAATTTATTTAGCGCCTTTTTTTCTTTAAAGATTTTAGATATTTTTTGACACATTCGTTAAGTTTACATTTTTTTAAAGTCTAAAATCAAAATGAAACAAAATTAATGTTTTATTCGCTATATATATATTGTTAATTGTGAAATAAACGAATTTGCTTATAAAGTAATTGGTTATTTTTTTACACATAGCCTATGAAGATGTAATTCATATGTTCCAACGCACTAACTTAAAAAAAAAAATCACTCTCATAAAAAGATACGATTGAATTTAGTTCGTATCACCAAATCGAAAAAAAAAGTTAAGTGATCATCACTGTGTGTTTTTAGTTAGTAATACTAATATTAATAATTACAAATTAAATTTTACATCACATTTTTATAGGAGATTTACTTATTTTTGATAGAGTTGATGAATTCGGCGCACTATAGTTTTTTTCACCTCTGTAACGGCAAAAAAACACTGTTTCACATGTTGGTTGTTGTTTTTTTTTAACTAACATCAAGTCAAAAGTTCTGTCAAATTATCGTGTCATCATAAGCAATTAGTCTGACACTTCTTGATTACGCAGTATTCGGAATTGATTGATTAGCTATGTCAAGAAAATCGCAAATTAAAGTTCGTCGTAAAAATACTTTTGCGCACTTTTTTACCTTTTTTTAGTGATTTTTTTTTTTTTTTTTTTTTTTTACTTCAATATTTTTGTCACCTAAAAAATCTAAAATAAAAACATGGAGGATGACGCCTTTTCTTGTTTTAAGTATTAAATTTAAATAAGAAAATTATGTACAAAGTTATTTTTACAAAAATCCAATATTTTCTGAACGATAGAAAAATAACGAGGAGGGGAAGAGTATTTTTAATTATTTTTTTTTTTTTTATCGGAACTATAAAAAAATGATTTAACATCAGAAATGAGTTTTTTTTTGTTTTTTTTTTTAATGCAGAATTAGAAAGCTTTAGTTTAAAATTCAAAATTTTTTATCATTTTTGCTACCAAATTACCACAGATCTTATTTAATAAATGCGTCTTAAATCTTTATTAAAATTGAAAAAAAATTATTGAATATTGATTGATTGATGTTGAATTTTATTTTTTCTTGAGCATAATAGTCGCCAGACATTCAGATGTCAAAAGACCGTATTTATTTTTCGTATGTTTTGAGTCAAAACATACGAAAAATAAATATGGTCTTTGGCCGTTGGTGTGTGTGTGTAGTAAAACTAGTAGCACCACTCATTCTTTCTTAATGAGATTTAATTTTGATTGTAACACTGATGTCATCTGTGACTCTAAAACTGTATTAGGTTTCAAAAGTATTGATTGTTCCTCTGGATAGTATCCATATTGTTTTTTTTTTTTTTTTTTTTTATCAACCTTTTTATAAAAGAGTGAGAATAAAGGGGAGAAAATACTGGATTTACTACTGAAGTAGATGTGTAAATGCACCATTAGAAGATCAAAGAATAACACAACTGAAAAGTTAAAACAAGAATGGAATGCTAGTTTGAATAATATGAAATAATATCCTGTGACCAGACCACATTTTAGCTGAATTATTTAAAAAAAATAATTTTGGCTCAATAAATTATTTGCAGTATTTAATTTGATATTTTGAATTTATTGGAATCAGTAACCAGACTAAGAGTGTTGCATATTGCAAAAACTAGTGTTACTTTGAAATGATTCTTTTTATGAAAGATACATAGAATCATTCAAGAGTTTGCAAATGACAATGGCATAGAACCTGGTATTCCCAGCTGTCTAAAATTATTGAGACGCATACTGCCTTGTAGATAGAAACCTTGGTCTTACTTGTGAGATACCTGTTCAGGAAGACATGTTTGGAAAGCTATCCAAAAGTTGAACATGACACTGAATCTCTTCTTTCAGATTATGGCTGTTATTGAGCATGGAGCTGAGATATAGTGAATCTGTTCATGTTCCTAGCATCTACATTTTTCCTGTGAAAATTATGTATAGATGAAGTTGAAGTTTGGTACAAGATCCCTTAGTTTCCTTGGTATTAATCTCAGCACAGTTGTAGGCATCACTCATGGCATCCAACTATTGATGAAGAAGAGTAGAATAGCTAATGAGAGTAGTGCTATCAGTATATTGAAGCTTAAAAACACATTCACTGCAATTTTGGACAATGCTTTGAGGTAGCAAAAGTTGACTAGGCCACAGTCATTGTGATATTGCAACAAAGTACTATCTTCCAGGTAGATTGAGTGTCTTGAGTACAGTCTTACAGATGAAAGGTGTATGGAAAAAAAATTAACTCCCGCTTTATTTGTTGTGTTATACTTGTAACATGAGGAAAGGTATTGTTAGGCAACAAAACCACATGTCAACTACTCCTTTTTTTTTTTTTTTCTTGTACCACTGTGTCATTTTAATGAGCCAGTTGCTTAATGTATTATTATATAATGGCAGTTTGTCTAAGTCCCTGTTGTTTATTCAATGTTTTGACCAGTTTAGTCTGTAGACTTTTTTAGTTTTTTTTTAATTTGAAACAGAGTAAAAACTTTTTTTTAAATCTTGGCAACTACATTGTTAAATGGATGGGGAATAATGAATCTCTGTAATAATTTGTTTTTTTTTTCTCTACTTGATAATCAAGTAGAGGTTTATATTGACTAAATATATTACCTTTGAGAAATTCTGTTTGGACAATTGAACTTTTCTTTTGTGCTTTTCATATGTAACAACATTATGGCTAATTTATTCTTTAGCTTTTGTCATTTTCTGAAAAAATGAATTTTTTTTTTCTTTTTCAATGTAGACTGAAAAATGCTAATATCAACAATATGAAGGAGTTTTTTTATCCACATAAAGTTTGTTACTGATGATTCTCAAAATTATAGACAAGTGTTTAAATGTTGCCTAATGTTTGTGTTCCTAAGTTTATGTAGAGTCTTTTTTCCATAAAGTCTTATAAATGATAGATTATAGTTAAGTATTTTTTCTCTGAATTTTCTATTTGTGTTTCATCTTCCTTTAAAAGTTCTACTCATTTATAAATTTTCTAGTTTTAAAGTTTTCCGAAATTATTATTTGTCCCTGAACTCAATAATTCAATTTTAAACATTACAATCTGTTCCAAACTTGTGCTTGCATCTACCCGATAATTACTGCAAATGTTTTGAAAATGTCTTTTTGTTTTTTAACAATTTTTCTCTGTTTCTTTCAGTGATCTGATTTGGCAAACCTTTCAAATTTCTTTCTCAGCAAGAATAATTTGAACAGAAAGAACCATGTTTCAGGCTCCAAAGAATTCTAAATCTGAATTTAGTCAGCTTCCTTCATTTGGACAGATTGCAAACACTCCTCTCCAAACAGGGAATCCTTCTTCTTCTCCATCATCAAATCTCAGCTCTACTTCTCCCTTTACTACAATGGCAACATTTCCTGGAACCTCATCTCAAATGGAATCTTCTTCTTTCAGAAACCCTTCAGCATTTTCTACTTCATCTTTTATTCCCAAGTCAGGTTCTGTACTCTTTTCTAACCAGACAAAAAGCACCACTAGTGTGGGTGTCAGTCAACCTTCAAATCTTTTTGCTAGTGCAACTACTACCAATCCTCTTGCAGGAATTTTCAGCACTGGAACAACCCATCCGACATCTCATTCATCCAGTCCAGCTTCTTCATCTAGTTTCACAAGTAGTACCTCATCTGGAAATTATACAACCCCGTTTACTCCATCAAATGCATTTGGCAATAGCAGTAGAACAGAAAACATCAGTTCTTTGCCAAATAATTTTGGAGGTGGTGCCAGTAGTTCTCCAAGATCAAAATCTGTATTTGGACACAGCTCAACAGCACCTTCTGTAAAAAGCAATCTTTTTGTGCCATCAACCATTGGACTCTTTGCACCAACAAATGATGGAACTAATACCCAGACACAAGCACCATTCACAATGAATCAGTTTGAAACCTCATCAAAAGGTCTTGTCTTTTCTAGCCAGTTGACTCATCCCAAATCTGCAGTACCAGTACCTGGTTGGGGTTCTCCCCCAAGTAAGCAACTGCAGACTAATCCATTTATTGGAACTAAAAGTAACAGTGTTGGTGTGTCCTCCACTGGACATACAAGTTCTGTCAATACTGTTCCATCTTCTCATCTCTTCCAGTCATCTACTACTGCTTTCTTTCAGCCTAACACAGTATCACCAGTATTCATCAAAAATAGTTTTGTCAGCAGTAGCAGCAACAACAGCACCACTGCCACAAGTAATTCTCTTGTGTCTGGTAACTTTAAAGCCTTTTCTACAACAGGCAACAGCTTACAGAAATCTGCACCAGTGACCAGTTCTGCTTTTTCACAAAACTCAAGCATTGGCCAGACTGTCTCTAAAGTATTTGGTTCAAGTTCTGAAGGCTCTTTTTCTGCAACTAGCCTGGTTAAGAACACAAAAGTTGATAATGTAGGCTTGTTTGGCAAACCAATTGAGTCAAAATCTAATTTGACTAAAACTAGTAGCAGTAGTAGTTCAGAGATTCCCAAAGTCCTGTCCACATCTTCATATGAAGTAGGACTTTTTGGTAAACCTGAAAAAAAGATTGAACAGGCATCAGAAGCTTCAATAATGCCAGTTTCACAACCTGCTAAAGTTGGACTCTTTGGAAAACAGCTGGTGCCAAAAGAGTCAGAAACTAATGAACGAACTACAAGAAAAAGAAGTGTTTCTCCCAAACGACCTTGGTCGAAACCCAGCCATTCAGGCAGGCATGAAATGGAATCTGAAGAGGGCACTTCTTCATCAGCAAGGGCATCAAAGATAACCCCATTTGGCAGACTTTATTCTGAAATGGACAGTGAGCTTAAACCAGCCTCATCAAGGCTGTTTAAAAAGAATGAGACAGATAATACTAATGATAACAGCCTTTTGAGAAGAAGAACATTATGGAATAAACCAAAAACTGCTGGAGACAAAACTTCAGGTACAGTATTTTGTTTTTAAAAACTAACCAATGAGTTAATTTTCAATGCTTCTAGAAAACAAGGATTTAAAGTCTATTGATTCAATCTGACCATGAATAAAATGTTGAGGTGGAACATTGAATATTTGTAAATAACTCTTTAACAAATATATGTTAAAACTTCCAGTTTTATTTAAGAAATAATATTTACCTTCACATTGTTTTACCCATTTCTAATAATTTCTTTAATGTCTTAAAAGTATTTTTATTTTTACAAACCATTACCACAAAACTTATATACACATTTATAAACCATATATTACTTCACTTCATTATTATTATTATTATTATTATTATTATTATAAGTATTATTCAACTGTGACATTGTATAAAGAATCTAACAATTTTAAAATGTTTTAAACTGAGGCTCAAAGCTGTTGAAGCTGCTTGCAGTATTTGAAGTAAATGTAACAATATCTGACTATACTGGCCAAAACTAATTGAGGCATTTAAAAGATGGTGAGTTGTCCCTTGAAAAAAAAGGCTTAGAAATGGATGACTATCAGTTGTTGATTATGATACTTTAAAGATTGAGATGAAACTGACTAGCAACACTGAAAACTAAAAATAGCTACAACCCTCAAAATATGCCATATTTATAGCTAATTGACATGGGACCTATATAGGGAGCATGATTCTGAGCCATACAACAGTGTGGTCAAAACAGCTGTTCTATAAACTTGTTTGATGTCTAATTTGATAGCTCTCTCTCTCTCTCATATATATATACTCTCAGTATTTGAATGTTTACTTAAGAAAATATCTTCTTTGATAAGAGACATAATTGATTTGGTGTTTTAATATGCAAAATGTTAGAGGTGAGATACCCCCAAAAGACATCTATTGATAAGGTCCATCTTAGAAAGCCATACAATTCTTGAGGCATATTTTATAAGCCTGTTGATATAATAAGCATATTTTTGCTCTTGACAGTTTTCTCTCATTATTATTAATTCTATTTCTTTAAATTCATGACATGTTTATATCTTTAAGAATAATTTTTTTAAATCCAATAAAAATACCTTCTCTATCCTACATTTTTATTTGATTCAAATTATCGATAATTTATACAGGTTATCATTTCAGCGTGAATTAGTCTATTATTAGGGGTGGGCTATAGAGACCAAATTTTTCAAAACAAGTGGGGAAGTGTTTTGTTCTACTCATTTGTGTCCAAATAGAAGGAAATGGGCCAACTTTTTGAAAATTGGGATGGAGCCAGATCGAAACTTGCCCAGACCTGCCCAGGGCCCCAAAAAATCACCAAAAATGACAACATATTCCACAAAACTTTAAAAATGAGCCACAAACCTTGCTGATTTTGATTCAAATGATTGAATATATGGTTATATGTAGTTTCTACAAAGCTTACACAGAAATTAGGAAAATGTTTTTGATGTTTTAAGCAAAAGTAGACTGCGAGAGAGATCTTTCACATATGGACAAGGTAGTAATTCGAGCAGCATCTTGTTCAAATTGTAACTTTACTGCAAAAAACATGAGGGATGACATGACACTATACCAGGCCTCAGTAATTACCATTGACAAGGAGACTAAGAAAATAGTAAAACTGTTGGATGAAGAAGAAAGAGTATGGTTCAGTAGTCAAGAGGAAATCACCAAAAGGCCAAGCTTGCCAAAAGGAAGGAAAAGCCTGTTTGATAGGATGAGCATCAGAATGTGAATGCAAAGCTCACAATGGCCCATTCATATCAGCAGAAAAGATTGAAGAAGGTATGAAAGCAGTTAAAGACGAGCAGAAAAGAAAGATGATGTTGAAGAATGAAATTCTTCTCTGAAAAAGTATGAGTAGAAAAGATTGTAGAGAATACCCTGATTTGTACAAAGTGATCAGCATAACAGTGGCAGGGCAAATGAAGGTAAACTTGGAGATCCTATTGTTGGGTAAGCATGAAATTGATTGTGATACTGGTGCCACATTCCCAGATGTAAAGCCCATGATCAATGAATTGAAGATGCTGATGAATCTGATCAACCTAATAAAGATGAAATTGCTATGCATGAAACATGCTTGGCCATTTGGGACAATGATAATGGAAGAGACTGGTGTGTTGGTATGACTCAAGAAAAAATTGGCACAGATACCCAGCCAAAGTAGATCCAACAGAAGACGCTAAAGATTCAAATTCTCCCGTGCAACGTGATTGGATCATAGGCCTTAACAAAAAGTACACCAGTATTTGTTTTGCATAACAATGATGTTATTGATGAGTTATTTAAATCATTATACTTATGAGTTAAGCTTGTGCTTCATATTGATTTATTTTAGAAATTTGGACCATTTTATACCTTTTTAACCACAGCTAAACAGTTTCATAGAATTAAATTCTATCATTAGACATTATATCAGTTATGAACTTTCAGTAATTCAAACCAATTTTAGCAGATTTTGACCAAATTCCTCTATTTTTGAACTTATTTAAAGGAGTTATGACATATTTAAAATTTAATACAAAATGTTTGTTTTAAGATATATCAGTAGAATACCAGCCCAATCTTGTGTCTCAATAGAATGTGATGTTGAAGTATTCGGTAATTTCAATTCAAAATAGTCGATTTTGTCCCCGTTTTTTTAACTGAAATTTGGTCTATTTCAGTTCCAAAATACCCTATTGTTTTGGAAATTAATGTGTAGACTCAATATTGTGTATGTAGAACCATGGATTTCAACATTTGAATCATTTTGGTGAAGGTTTGTTGGTGAATATTGATGCTATTTGGAATATGTTGTCATTTTTAGTGATTTGGGGGTGGGTGGCAGGTCTGGGCACATATCAATCCTGCTCCATTCCAATTTTCAAAAAGTTGGCCCATTTCCTTCTATTTGGACACAAATGAGTAGAATAAAACACTTCCCCACTTTCACTTTCCCCTTTGAAAAATTTGGTCTCTATAGTCCTCTCTTACTATTATTTCTTACTCTGCTTATAATAAATTGTGTGTAAAAGATGGATTTATTATTCCATTTTTGAAATTAAAATTTAATGATTATTTCTAATTTATAAACAGTGCTAATAGAAGAATTATTGGATGCAAATTAAAAAACGTTTAAGTATAAAACGTTTTGAACCTATTTTAAAATGACTTTTTCAAGTAAATCAATATACTTTGACAGTTTGTCTTTTAATTTGGAATATTTGTGTAAGGATAAAAGAATTCAAGAGTTCATTAAACAGTTTTCCTAATTTGTGTTTTTATTTGTGCTCAGAATCACCAGAAATGTTGTTTTAGAAGTATATTCGTAAAATGACCAATTTGAACCAGAAAGCAATCTTTTTAAATGGAAAGATAAGACCAAGCTGAAATTAACCTCAAAAATATCTGAATTCAAAATATTTTTGTCATCAAAGCTGTTTTAAAAGTGTTGTGAATTTTTATTGTGGCATAAAATATTTTAATAAATTTCTGGCATATCTCACTTCTGTGATAGATTTTAAAAAACTATTTTATTCATGATATTAAAAAAAAAATTGAAAAGTAAAATATATGATCCACATTGATGTCAGTGTACCAGAAAATCATATTTGGGATAAATATTTTTTATTTTATCTTAGATGCAGATCAGTCAAGGCAGTCAAAAAGAACCACTTTCCCTCGTCAGATGTCTGAAGATGATGAATCTAAAGTTGCCTTGATCTGTAAAAATATTCCCTCAAATTTCAACAGAGGTGCCATTCTACATAAACACTTCAGCCGCTTTGGTAAAATTGCCCGTATTATACCAAATCCACCTAAACGTTCTGCCAATGTTCATTTCAAAGATCATGTAAGTTGTTTTTTTTCGTTTTATTTTTTTTTTTCAACTGATTACAAATTTATGCTATTCTTGAAACAACAAATATTAAAAATAAGTCTGAAGAACTGATGAGGAAATTTTTCATAACACTTCCTTGAAGCAGGAATTCTTCAAGTTTTTTAAAAATGCTATTTGTTTTGCTGGTTAAGCAATTTTTTTTTTTCTTGAAGCTCATTTGTAAATTGATGCACCAATGATATAAACTTAAAAATCTATGTCAAAAGAAATTTTATTTGCATTATATTAAAACTTAAATCATATTTTGGTGAAACTACTTTTTTTGCAACAAGATAGCCATAAGAATATTGAATTTCACAAATGTTAGAGATCCCCACTTTACAGTATTTACATTAGTCGGACTATTGTCCTCATCTTTGTCGCCATATTTGTCACAATGTTTTTTCGTTAACTCAACCGGCCTTCTTCAGGTGGTTGGATTTCTGATAACTGAACCCTTTTTCCATCAAACATGGCACTGTTCTAGGTCAGTCTGCCATGTTTGATAACTGAATAAAGGGTTCAGTCAAATTCATGGCACCTGAAGAAGGCCGGAGTGCGCATAACGGCTAAAACGTTGTGACAAATATGGCGGCAAATATGAGGACAATAGTCCGACTAATGTAAATACTGTACATCTCAGAAATATAGACAGATCCCCACTTTAGCTTTGTTTTTATGAAATAATTGATATAAAAATTTTCCAATCATGAAATTTCTGAAAAATCTTCTACATTTTTCTTTTTGTATGGTTTTAAATTATGTGGATTTTATGAAAACTATATCAAATATTTTTAAATGTAAATAAACTCTACAATTATATTTGTAATGAATCATTAAATTTGGCATATACTTCTCAGAATAAAACCTTATTTCTGAAAATACATTCTATATACAGTTAAGTAGGTTTGTTTCTAATAGAATTTCAGCAACATAATTGTTAGATATTTTGTTTTCATAAGATTTGTTTTTGAATCAAAGATCTGTTATTTGAATATTTTTAGGAACTTGTTCCAAATGAAAAACAAAAATCAAATGTAGAACTATTTTTTCATCATTGGCAAAACATGAAATGTAAATGAAAAGTTAAAAGGAAATGTGATTTATTTGTGGTTCTGTCTCTTTTTTGATGATCCTAGAGAAGTGAACAGGATCATTTAAAGTTTGAAATATTGACTCCATTTAAACAGATCTATATTCATGGTTGTTATTTTTATTTGTTCTGTTACGACCATTTGTTTCATTATCAGGAATCTGCTTATAATGCCAAATATGAGGGAACAGTTTTGGCACCAGGTGTACGAATTCAGATATTTTGGCATGCTGGTACTCGACGAACTTCCACTTCATACAAAGACTTGGATGCTGCTCCTTCAGGTAAATTTATATCAGTAAAGAAAGCTTTTGCATGACAAATGAATTTATGCCTCCCATCTCAAAACCTTTTAAATGGTAACCTGCAAATACGTATTTGTGTGCAAGTGTATTATGCATTCCTTCATGCCTATTATACATCTTTTCATATGATACTAATGGTCAGTTTTATCTTAAAAAAAAAAAAAAAAATAAAATAAAAACGATTTACTTGTAGTGTAGAGCTCCTACATAATAGTATGTAAGCTAGTCTTTTAAACTATTAGTGTAGTGTTAAATTGTTGAAGGATGTCTCACTATCAGACTATGCTACATTATTTATAAAATATGAGAATGGATTTACTTTAGAAAAGTCATGTCAGCTTTTGTATCAACAAATTGAAGTCCTCTCAATTGTAGCTATGATTCTCTGTATGATCTTTATTTACCTTTGTTTTTAAAAGATATGCTTTCACAGTTGAAGACAGTGTCAAATATTTTGTAACTCATTTAATTATTCAACTTCAAAAAGATTATTCCTCAGCCTGCAAAATACAATCCTTTTTGATCATTTATGACACCATAATCTTATTAAAAAATAATGATTTTTGGAATTAAAAATAAATATATTTCTGTATTTTTAAGAAAATTGAATAAGTTTGTAGTTTTACAATCTTTTTATTATTTTTACTGTAAATGAAAGTGAAAGAGAATTACTGAATGAATTAGTAAAAATATCCTAATTTCTCTTTGAGAGAGAGACATGCAAATATTGTTACTTTCTCTTTGAATGGGTTGGTTTCTTCCTTTCCTTTTCTCTCTCTCTCTCTCTCGATGCTGGCTTAATTGAAATCTTCTCTACAAATTAGGTTCATGTGGTAGAATTAAAACTTGCAAGTTAGCACACAAGATTATTAGTGGGATGAAGCCAATGCAAGACAGAATTTCTTCAACATTAAACAGGGATCAACTTAACTATCAAAAGTTTGCAAGGCCAGCTCACTAACCACTATGCTATGACAAGATTTATAAATCAATCCAATAAGAATTCATTGGACTAATATTTCATAGATAAATTTGAATGATTTCATTTTACTCTTTGCTTAACATAAACTATACTTTTAACATAAATCAAATTTTCCTAATATAACAATTATTTCAGATTTTGTGTTGTACAGTTGTATTAAGTATTACCAATAATTATTCTTCATTAAGATATGAATTGAGCAGAATTTCGAGAGAGAAGTTGCGTATCTGATTAGTTGTATCTTTTGTCTTTTCAATAGAAAGTGAAGTTAGAAATCTGTCTTCAACACAATCAAAATCCTCCAAATCAGCAACTGTTCTCAAAAAGCGTTTATGGTTTAGTAATGACGTGGAAGAAGAACTACAGCTGATGGCTGGTACTAATGACATCAAAGAAGAACTTGTAAATACTCTCAACCGACCTGATGACATGCCTTTTATTCTGCCACCTCCTCTTGCTCCTGAAACTACTGCTACTTCGTTGTCTCGGTCGTCAAGATCTTATAGTCATCGTTCTAAAACAGTTTCTGGTGCCCTTCAGTCATCTTCCACATCTCCAGAAAAGAAAATTCCAGTTTCTATGACTGAAAAGAAGATGGGTCACATGGTGCCACCAAAATCAACTACCAATCTACCACTACGAAAAACTGAAAGTACTATATCATCTGCTAAACAAAGTGATGTTGACTCTGCAAAAGGTAAGCAAGAACTTTCTATTAGCATTGCAAGGAACAATTTTATCCTGACTGTTTTAACTGAGATCCTTTTTCTTGTGGCCATTGTTGCATGTTGCTGTGATTAAACATTAATTATGAGTGATAAAAACAAGTAAAATGATTTTATTCTAAAGAAAATTAATTTATAAACAGTTGGTTCTGTAATAATTAATTTGATATATAATACAATTATAATGTATAATATAAATAAAAATATATATAAAAATCTCTAGTAATTAAAATTTGATGTTTTTATAGTTATTAGTTATGTTTGAAAATAATTTATAAAAACATGCTTTGAACAGTAAACTATTTTTGCTACTAATCAGAATTTTTAGTTTAAGATTAAAATTGTTTTTACGTTTCTCTGAATATCCTCAGTATGACATTTGCAAAATATCTGTTGTGGTGGCCAATATAAAGTTTTCCCAGTTTTGAATAAGTATACTCAAACAGACAATGAAAACCGATTTCAATATTACCTCTGCAGTTACATATAATATTATCTGATTCAATTTATCAACATTTCAAATGTGAATTTTATATAAATTTATCTAAAATTTGTGTATTCTCTGATACTTTCCTTTTGCATTTTGATACTGCCATGATTGTAATGCTTGCTTTCAAAACAAAATTGTAAATACTTTAGAAAACAACATTGGGGAACTTGATAAAAGAGGTATGAAAACTGAAAAGAGAGATTACTAGTGGCTCTTAGCAACTCACAAAATATTTTACATACTGCAATCTGAAAGGAAATTTAATTGAGAGTACAAGTGACAGAGGCTGAATTTAAACAAAAATGAAACAATAAATTATGAAATGCTTCTCTCTTGTATTTAATATTCTATTATGCTAAATAATTATAAATGAAAAAAAAATAAAATTGGTGCAAAATTATCACAAGGAAATGCACACAAGGAGGTGCTGAAAAGTCCAGTCCACTTCTCAAAATCTAATTAAATGACCAAACATTAAATTTGTTTTTAACTCCCTTCAGCAACCTCTTGAAGAAAATTTCATGAAAGTCTATTCTGTTTTTAAAGACATTCACCTAAAAATCAGCAGATAATTTAAAAACAAAATAGATGATCAGTTTTGTTATTAAAAACCTTCTTGCAAGATATAGATAAAAAACTCATGTAAAACAAAATCTAGAAAAAAAAAAACGATAAATGCATATTTTATACATTTATAACATTTTCAGTTGTTCATAAATGTTATGTACACAAAGTTGAAAAAAGGGAAAAATAGTTGATATAAAGGATAGTGGCATATTCAAAATTATTTTTTTTCTTTTGAATTCAATGCAAATAAATACTAAAAGTAAATTTTGAATGTGAAATATGTCTAATCTGTGAATAATTTTTAAGTCATTTCACGAGGTAGTTTTCATATGTGGTTTTTATAATTTGAATATATACACTGATAAAAAGAAGTCTTTGACTGTAACATTAATGATAACCATGTTTATTTTATGAGTTTAGAGGAGTGCAATGATTGAAACTTCCTGAAATGAAATGGATCAAAGTATTTCACTAATAGTTGTGAATTTCATGCTCAACAACTTGGACAATTATTTTTACTTACTGCATACAAAAATCAAAAACACTCATGGGGTGTAAGTTATGAACTTGGAAGACAAAATGGCTTAATTAGGAATAACATGGATCTCACTTTCCTTCTGCTTTGTTCTCTCATCAATTATCTTGATCATAATTTTGTCACTACGAAATCACAATAGCAAACAAAAAAAAAAACTTCAGTCCTTGTGTAGTGGCAGCAAAATGGCTGCTATATCCATTGTCATTAATGGCATATGGAAGCTGGTGAATTTAAAAATTTTCTTTTTTTTTTTCAAGATGCAAGGTTTATATCTCCTTATTTTTTTAATTTTTTAATCTTTGTTTTCTTTTACATTTTGAAAACTTGAAAATGTTTTTATTTTTATTTTTTTAGTTAGTATTGCTGCTGCTCATGTAAAGCTTCTTGATCTCTATGACCGTGCTGTAAGAAAACGTAAGTAGCATTCTTTAGATTTTAATCTTGTCTCTTTTGTTATACAATTAAAACTGTCCAAATTTCCTTGTTCTCTTGCCAGAATAGATTTGGCTTTATGACTGACATTTTATTTTCTTACTCTCTTGATATCTTATAAAAAGGTTTCTTAAAATGATGTTGAGGTTGCCATTTTGAATTAACCTGGTGTTGGAGTTAGTCTTTACTTTATCACGACATGAGAGGCTTTGATTGTAAATTCCTTGTCTCCATGCCTTGCAAATACATGGCAATGACAGGTACACAATACACACTCTCTCTTGACACTTGATACATATATACACACATTATTTTTAACAATGCTTCTCTCACCCTATCTTCAAGATAGTTCTTGTTTGATGAATAGCCTGACTTTGTCTATAGTATATCCTAATTACTGTAATAGTAAAACATTTTAATAATTTCTTATAAAGTTGAACTGCTTACTAGCTCCTTATTTAGAAGTACTTTTGTTTGAATTATACATATAAGATTTTACAAAAAGCTAAGAAATATAGTCTGCATGCCAGTTTAAAATTGATGACTCACAAAGAAATAGAGGTGATATTAAAATTAAAGTAGATGCATTTTAAAAATGTTTTTTGTTCTATTGAATGCCCCATATCTGAATGATAATTCTCTGATCAGAAAAGACTCAAAATGAAGCTTGTGAGGATGTTTTATTTTTATCCCCTCACCATTACAATCAATACTTGCCAAATTTCTCATACTCAAGAATAAAATATATTGAAATATTGATAAAAAATAGAGTATTTGAATCAAAATGTGAGTATTAGATGAAATGAACTTGTTGATAATTAACAGGAATTACTTTTAATGTGTCATCTGAAGCTTTTTGTGAAAATATTTTCATTAATGGTTTCTTTATCATTGCTGTTTCAACCTTTGTTACAATTTCTCTCATAATTCCTGAAATAATGATTTAATTTCTATCTTATAATTTGTCAAATACACTGCTTATGTCTTTTTATCAGCTTTTATATAAAAATATTTTTTCTTCAGAAATGAAAAAGAAATCTACTTTGGCTTCAGCCACAGTGTTGGTTGGTACATGTCCTGACATGTGTCCAGAGAAGGAGAGATATGATCGTGAGGCCAAGAGGAGACTTCATGTCTTTGAAATCATGGCTGGAACAGAAAATTTGGTTTGTGTAGTACTTTTTTTTTTTTTTTCTTTTTTTTTTATTTTATCACAGCATTTGGGCCCCTGTGCTTTTCCCATGATGCTTCCCTTTTTTGATTTCTTTAAATCCTTTGCTTGTTCCTGTCTTTGTTCTGAAGTTGCAACTAAAATATTTTCTTCATTTACCCCTTATTCTTTCTGTTAGATTTGTCAAAACAGTACATAAACCTAGCCTTTAATGAAACAAACTCTTATTTTCACTCTTCTGTTAGCCATCCTCATCAAACTCTTTCTTCTTCTCTTAATTCATCGTTTATCTGATACCTTCTATCCAATCGCAATGCAATCATATTTCTGATGTTGCACAGTGAATTTTCATTGCATGTAAACATTTTTTATTAGATTTTTTATTTAAATCATTTTTGTTTCTTCAGCCATATCCAAAAGCAGACCATGCTCGAGTTGTCAAGGAATACAGCAGATCATCTGCAGATCAGGTAAGAAGTTCAAAACTTTCAGTTTTAAGAAAAATTCAAAAATGAAATTATTGATAATTGTTGAAAACAGTTGGCTTATATGGAGGATTTGGATTTTTGCATATTTCTCAGACATAAAATGATGTGGGGTCATTGGATTATATTCAGATTGTCTTGTATACAAGAACATATATTAAAATTGTCCTTCTTGGCAATCTCAAGTATAAAATCAGTAATATGACTAAAAATCTAAGCTATGACTGGAAGCGGGGTAGAGAAAATGTTATTTATGTGCATGATGTTTTAGGGAAATGTTATTTATGTGCATGATGCATCTTAGAATGATGAAATAAATCATAACAAAGACAGCATAACTGAATTACTAAGCAGTCATAGAGTTGATTTAGAACTTCTAAATTTATCAATTCAAAGAAGTCTGTGCACTTGTCAAAAGAACTCCACACAAACCTTTTGCTTCTGATTCCTACAGTGCAATCTGGAATGGTTGAATTTTCTTGGGCTTCTTTAACAAACAAAAGTAAAGATGATAGCAAAAGATCATTTTCAAATCCATCATCCCAACTTTTGGAGTTTTTTTTTTTTTTTTTAATGCTCTGACACTTCTTCCCAAATTCAAATTTTAATGACTTGTGGCATAAATTCTTTGCCACCTATTTCCATTCACTTTCCCTTCTGAGTCTTCGATATATGTTTGTAAAACAACTACCTTTTAGTTATTTGCTTTATAGTGTACAGATTATTTACATTTAAGTTTTTCAGATGGTGCCATCGCTGTTTGTAAGTGGTTTGTTAGGTTCTATTTCTGAAATCTGTTCAACATTTTTTACAAAATTTTTCTGCACTCTATACTTTTAAGTCTAGCTTTGCAACATGTTGACAACTAATATTTTTGTTTAATGTATTGGAATTGTTGTTTTGAGGAGGAGAATTGTTTACTGAATAATTTTGAATTTTACTTTGGCAGCCAAAGCTTTTATAGCTTGGTTTAACACACATAAAGTAGGTAGGGACATTATTAGTTTGTGACTTTGGTCTTCGCCTTTGATTTCTGAGGGCCATTGCAGTATTTTCACTGTTATTCTCTTCAATCATCTTTTCAGTTTAATCAATGCTTCACAATGCTACTTTAAATTCAGACACACACCCAATTAAATTGAAAAATTAAAATCATCCTTGATAATGGCTAAAAGTTTAGCCAAAAGCATTTGGAATTATAGAACATTTGGACAGTTTCTACAAATTCTGTGTCCAAAAAAGAAAACACTTGTTTGAACACAAGAAAAATTAAATAAAAAGCTTAATCATAGTACCTTGTCTGTCGTCTTTAATGAGAGAGAGAGAGATAGGTAAATCAAATGACCAGATATAAGCAACCGTATATGTGCGTGTTGGCGTTCATACACAGGCAAGCAAATAAGTAATCATCAAATTTATTCATGAGGTGTAAACATAATAGTGCTCAATGTGGTTAGACAGAGCAAAGATATATATTAATAAATATAAAGGTATATGCTTAATTATTGATGGAGGATGATTAGACTTAGGGTGTATATATAGAGGATTAGTAATGTGTTTTTTGTAAGGTAGGTATATATTATTCATTAAATCTAATGTTATGTCTAGGAAGTCTGCTTTCTTTAAATTAGTGTTTACAGTAATTTTCAAGTTTAATACTTTGTATTTTAAGTTTAATTTATTTGATTGAATTTGAATTGAAGTTTCAGTTTTGAAACATGAGAATTTTGGTGTTGCGATGATAATACATTTTTGAATGTCTATTATGTCTGATCATGAGCTGTTTTAATGTTTGAATATTTGCTTTAATTTCTAGTCAAAATAAAGACAAAAATTGTCTAAAATTTGGATATTTTTTTTTTATTAAGTTGGTCCTAAGCTTTTGACTGACATGAGCCATCTTGAAGAGTGGTCATACAGACATGAAACAAAGATATCCACTGTCGAAGATGATGTTTTGTTATTTTGACATAGATTGCTATGTGATCTTGAACTTAGGATCTGCGTCTGCTATTGTCACATAGTGATAGACATTCATTGTCTGTTATATTTAATAATATATGTTTAAATAATGATCTGCCGACCCAATACACTAAGTGTGTGTGTGTGTATATATATATATATATATATAGCAACAAGTGTGTTTTTCTGGGATTTACAGTAAATAGTATTTAGACTATCAGGGTTTAATGGCATTAATAAGTTATGGGTGATTTAACCTTAAGACCAATTAAATTTAGGTAAATTAGTTGAATGATAGATTCATAAATTGTGGGTAATACCGGGACACCTAATGAAATAGATCATGTTATCCAACACATGTACACATACATATATCCGTGCATTTACATATACATACATATATGTAAGTAATCATACCCCCCACCACATATACCCATAGATATATTCTTATGTAATTTTGAATCTGTTCCTATGTCTACATTTCGTAAATTAGCTCCTTCTGTTGATTTAATAGTTTGCATTGAATTTTGTATTTTATTATACTAATTTTCCCCTCCAAGCATAGTATGCACCTATCTATAAAACTATTGGGGGTGTTTGTGAAACCTGTAATTTTCCAACTTATTTGGGGATTCAAATCTTTTTCCTTCACTTCCCAAAATATTTTCGTAAGGGCTGTTTGGTGTTTTAATTTTGGATTGGTAAATGAGTGTCTATGTGTATTGATTCTCTGTTTAAATTCTTCTGCAGAGAAGCTCATGTAAATATTATAATTTGTCATATTTTCTTTAGGGGTAATGGTTACCTGGTATACCACCTTAGTGGATCTGCATTTCTCCTCTACTGGGCGGTTTTCCTTAATTCTATAATTACAGGGTATTTCCATGCTAGATTTAGTTTTTGTTCCCCATGGAATTTACTGAAGATGTAGTTGTTATAAGAATTAATAATTTGATACATATTTCTAGTGCAGGAGTAGCTAATTTCTGTTGAATATATTATTTAGTTTTTTTGTGGAAATGTTTAGTAATTAATTTAGGAAGTAAAATGTTGATATTTGAAAGTTTGCAGAAGGGGAGTTTGAACCAAGTGATTTTTCTTTTCTTATTTTTACACCTACATCCCACTTTTCGTGTGTTGGTATTACCTATAGGGGTTGCATAAGACAGCTTATTTTTTTAAATCACTTTTTTGAGGGCCTTTTCATATGGTTCTTTAAAGATTTTTTCATTGGACAATAGTTTACTAATCCTGGTGCAAACAGTAGTAGGTATTTGTATTAATATTGCATTGAGGTGGTTAGAACTGATATTAATATAGTTTGGGGTTTCATTCTCTTTATGGTAAGGTTTAAAAGTTTTATCATTAAGGTTAATGGTTATGTTTAGGTAGTCAACTATTTTAAGGTTAGAGAAAATCTCAGTCTTAAACCCTAGGAATTTGAAGGCCCTGAGAATTTTCTTTTGTAATTTCGCTGTTAGTGGGCCATTAAACAAGGAAAATTAATTCATTTTATTTTTATTTTTACAAATATCTTTATGGTTTTATCTGGCAAATACACTTAAGTAAAATTAATTAAAATGATTAAAATAGTTTTTAATTTCAGTTTTAAAATGTGTATCTAAAAAAAAACAAATGATACTTGCAGATTTGGAAATCTACACATTCTAAAAATGAAATTAAAAGATTTTACTGAAGGATTGAGAAATGCTGGATAACTGATTAGTGTTTTAGGAAGCGGGCAATGGGACTTATTTTAAGTTGAAACTTAATTTCAAGAAGGAAAAAAATTAAATCTTTTCCATTCCCCCACTCCCCACTATAAGTATTCCTTTCAAAAATTACCTGAGTTAGCAGGTTCATTAGCAAACCAGCAGGACTAAAAAGGAGACCTATCAAAGGGCTGAGGATTTCTCTGAGCCAACTATCATCTTGGACTTCTTGTAAGCTGCTTTTTTTTTTTTTTTTTTTTTTTTTTTGTGTTTCTGTGTGTGTAATACAAGTAGATAGGCTTGGTCAAAGCTCCTCCCACTTCTCACTTCCCTTGGACAAGAGTAGAGGCACACCACTTGTTTAGGAAGGGGTTCCTGGAACCCTTCCTCTCCTTCTCTCTGGCCACAGTACTAGTACTGCCGTGATTCTCCTGTGATGTGTACAGTCTGTGGCATTGCCTCTTCATTCAGAGTGTACACTGTTGATAGTTTTCTGGTTGTTGTTCCCAACTGGTAGTTAGGAGCCCTAACTCTTGTGTAGTGTCTTGGACACTCTGATCAACAGGGTGCCTGTAGTATAGTCTCCCTATATACCTATATGGAGATTTCTCAATGAGGAATGATTCCACACTGCAGAAGTTGGTTCAAATGCCATGGGCGTTAGAAAAGGGCTTAGGTGATTTTTTTTTTTTTTTTTTTTTTTTTTTTTTTTTAAGAGCTGGTTTAGGTTTGCTTTTTTAATCATTATTTGTCATGTTGGGTAATTTTGGAAGTGAAAATGAGAAGGCTGAAGTAGAAGTAGCAGATAGTCATTGTCTGTGATGTGAGCAGAAAGGAGCTGATGCAGCCTGCAATATAATGTGGCCTCAGGGTTGCCCACTGAAGGGGAATGCAGGGACACCCTTCCATGCCTTACTGGCACCCCGGTATTATACAACTGTTGATCAGTGTCCACTCAAGACAAGTTGAGTTTGGTGTGAGACCAACCTCAACTTGTTTATCCCCCTCCTCTGATCTCTCAATCCCTGGTTACCTTTCTCTCCTTAGAAAAGACTCTTAAGCCCACATACACGACCTTGGAGTTTACATTAAAGACCATGTCCCACTGGCTAGAGAGCTTTCTCTCGAATCTCCAGACCACTCATACTTGTGTCGCTCTCTATCCTCCCATGTACTCAAAAGCATTTCAGACAATATAGACAAGGTTATCTCTCTCCATCCGTTTGTTCATGCCTCACAGCTCTGCCCTCTTGGCAACTCTGATCATGCTGTAGTGTCTATCAACATCTCCTTCTACTCCACCCCCAGCAAAGAAGCTCTTACCAACATGACATCTTTCTGTTATCAATGAGCAGACTGGGACTCGTTCTGGGATTTCCTTCACAATGTCCCCTGGGATGTGGTCTTTAAGCTCACTGCTCAAGAATGTGCTTCCAGGATCTCCTGGGAATCGAGGCTTTCATCCTCGTTAGGAAATATAAAGTTAAATCGCACTTGGTTCTCTTCTGCTTGCTCAGCTGCCATTGCCCATAGGAATCACTTCTTCCACCTATATCATAGTGACATGTCAGATTGCAACAGACGTTTTGGCCGTAATGAGTGCAAGCGTGTCCTCAATGAAGCAAAGTCACTATTTACTGATAGAATGAAACAATGTATTGCATCTCGCAAATTCGGCTTCAAGGATTATTGGCATCTCTGCAAGAGTGTACTTAACAACAGCAAACCTTCAGTACCTCCTTTGTTCAACCAATTTCAGGTCCTGACCTCTTCAGCTGATAAGGCTGAGTGCTTTGCTCAGAAATTCTCTTCCAACTCAACGCTTGACTCATCCAGTGTACAATTTCCCCCCTATCAGTGGAGATGGGATACCAGCCATTGTCCTGAAGAAATGTGCTCCTCTCCAAATTATATAACTACTGCCTCAATGAATTTTGCTTTCCAGCGTTTTGGAAGTCCTCATCTGTTGTACCTGTCTTTAAGAACTGTGGAGACCCTTCCGACCCATCTAACTACTATCCTATCAGTCTCCTACCACTCTTCAGCAAAGTCTTTGAAGCTTTAATCAATGCCGAAGTGGTTAATCACCTTATATCCCATGATTTGCTCTCTGACAAGTAATATGGTTTCTGCTTTGCCCGTCCTGCAACTGATGTTCTCACGGCCATAACTGAAATTGTCTACCAAGCACTTCACAATAATGGAGAAGCTCATGCTGTGGCTCTAGATATCTCTAAAGTGTTTGATAGGGTCTAGCATGCCAGCCTCCTTCGTAAACTAATTGCACCAGAAAGTTTTTCTTGCCCGAGTCTGTCCTTCAAATATATAAATCAACCATTTGCCCTTTCAAGGAATATTGCTTCCATATATGGTCTGGTGCCCACGCTGTTCACCTTAAGGTTCTCGACAAAATGCATAGATGGATATACAATGTGATTGGTCCTGGTCTAGCATCTCATCTACAGTCGCTCTCTCACAGACATGCTGTTGCCTCCCTCTGTCTTTTCTACAAATACTTTCATGGTAACCCTTTCTGATGAGCTACTTTCACTAGTTCCCAGGCTGCATGAATTTAAGCATGCTACTAAGCTGGTGTCACGGTCCCACCTTTTCATTGTCAAAACGGTTAAATGTGGCCGTCTCTTCTGCTCCAATAGCTTCATGTCTCGCACCACCCGTCTGTCGAATTCCCTTCCTATTACTTGTTTCCCTGATAGCTATAATCTCCAACTATTCAAATGTAATGTCACTCAATATCTTCAGATGCCCTGATCTTCCCTTCATCCTTTCCTCCATCATGCCTCTTTACTCTTGCTCCCACTATGTAACCCCCTTGCCTGCTAGTGGCATCCTGCCTTGCTTAGGGTGAAATGCTTAAAAAAAAAAAAAATTAATTTTTGGTGTATTTGCTGGATAAAAAATATAGGGGAGGAAAAATAACTCATTGATTTTTCTTGTTTAGAAGTAATTTATTTGCAAAACCCCAATAACAGTTGACTGGTGGACTAGAAAAAAATTGATGTATTTTTAATTATTTTAAACATGAGGGGTTTCATTTTTTTGTCTTTTTAAAAACAAATTATCAGCATTTCTGGATATAAATGGGAGAATTCTTTGCCTCTAAATAAAATAATTAATCTGTATCTGTCAGACAGTAGTTTCAATAATTTGAAAGGTCTTTTACCACACTATCAGTTGCTCTTTTTTTTTCCGCTTACTTTATAATTTTTGAAGGAATTTGCTTCCACGGTTCAGAAAAGAAATGAACATCTTTCTGGTTGTAGTTTAAGGTGTCTTCTAATTGAGTGTACAATTTTAAGAATATTGATAACGATTGGTTACTTTGATATGGGGAAACAAAGTAACATGTAAGATTTAGTCTTGAAGAAAAAAAAACATTTTGCATTTTTGGCTGTTCAAAGCAGAATACCATTTTAACTTGCTGTAAAAAAATAATTCAATGAATAAAAGCATATACAAATTACATATTTAGAAAGATTTTTTTTTTCTTTTCAGCCATATGAATATTTTAAAGATTGGAGTAGAAATACATGAGAATTTGCAAGTTGAATGGACTAAGTTGCAAATATTTCAATCTTGAACAAAATCAGATATCAACTGGAAATGCTATCATTACACAAGAAAATGAATGGCTTCCTTAGAAAACAAAAATACTAAATTAAAAACTGAATCAAAAACCAGTATCAAGGAAAGAAAAAACTGATACTGAAACATAAATTGCCAAACTGACCAACTCTAATATATATACACATCTATCTATCTATCTATCTATCTATCTATCTATATCTATATATATATATCTATATATATATATATATATATATATATATATATATATATATATACACACACTTGAAAGAATCATTGAAATGACACTTCAGTCTTAGAATTATTTTCATTAGACGGCAATATTGTTTTCAAATTCTTAAGATTTGGAGCTGTTTCACTTGCATATAATCTTATATGCAAGTGAAACAGCTCCAATTCTTAAGAAATTGAGAATAATATCTGTCGTCTAATGAAAACTAGGGAGGGTTTAAAAAAAATCTCAATTATTCTCTCAATTTGAACTAAAGATAGTGTCAATATAGTCTTACAACTCATTCAGTATAAAATTGAGCCTTTTTGGTTAATAGACAAGTGTAACATTATGCTACACTTTATTTTGAATAAATTCAAGTTACTATGTTGGCCATATTCATAGAATATAAGCTTAAGACATTCATATTTGAGCTGAATATTTTTGTGGCTTTAATCTGCCAAATATCATATGACCACTTTTTAAAAATCCTGGAATTTTCAGTTTTTATTGATCAAGACTTCCAATAAAGATTTGCCATTTTACAGATTTATGGATGAAAGTCTTTTTTTTCTTTTTAATATTATCAATGCCTGTTGTCACATCACCACCAGCATAACAATACATTCTGAAAGTATGTGTTAAAGCATTATATTTTTGTGTTTTAGGAGGAACCTCTTCTCCATGAATTACGACCTGCTTTGGTTCTTGTACGAACCATGACATACCTCTTGACTGAAATTGCTAATAAGGGTCAAAATGGGAATTGGCCTGAGTGGTATGATTTCCTGTGGGACAGAACCAGAGGTATCAGAAAGGTATGTAAAATTCACTGATTTTTCAATAATTATCTTTTTCATGTTTTTGTAATTTTTTTTCTTTCCATTTGTTTTTACAAAATGGCTGTTTGAAATTTAGTAATAACATAATTGCAATATTACATGAACTATTAAGACATATTCTCATTTTTGTTTTTACTTGATCTTTGATATCTTACTACTTTGACTGCCCATCTAGGACCAGAGAGGCCCAATCTGATCAATTGGCTTGTCATGTCAAGCCCTAATACCAATCTGACCACCAAAAATACAATAACTACACACACAAGAAAAAAAAAAAAAAACAAACATACACATACCACTTGACTTCAGTCACCTTCCCATGTCTTTTCTATAAATACTTTCAGGTTAATTGTTTGATTGAGCTCTTTGCAATGGTATCTAGGCATTTTGAATTTAAGCGCAGTACTAGACTGGAGTCAAAATCTCATCAATATAGACTTGAACTGGCTAGATGTAGCTGTAAATTCTATGATAACAGTTTCATTTGTCACACTTGCTTGTTGAACTCCCTTCTAGCCAACTTTAATCTGCAAAAATTTAAATGTATTGTCAATTGCTATCTACTGTCCTGATTACTCTTTTTCTCTTCCTGCTCATTATTAATGTTTCTTTTCCTAATTCTTCCACACCCAGTAACCACTTGTGTCTTAGTGGTTTTACTGCCTTGCATGGGGTGAAACTGACTTTAAAAAATTAAATAAGAATTAAAATTTAATCAAATTGGTACTAGAAGTTGGTGGCAAGGATCAATCAAATCATAACTAAAATGTATTGTCAAAAATTAAAACTTCTATTCAGCCTCACAGGGGTAGAGGAATGAAAGAAATTATTGATGACTGCATATAAATACTAAACCTGAGTATACTATTTTTGTATTCCTGTGATACTTGGGCAAATGGGATCCTGAATCTGTCCCCCACAATAGAGCTCCATGGAGGGGGAAAGCAAGGATGGTGAAAGGAAAAAATATCTATAATATAGCAACAAAGAAGATAAAGAGATCCCTCTCTGAATCAAGTTCTGATAATGAATTGGAATCTCACAATCAATTCCCACAATATATAGTAATGGAGTTATTACAAAACTATCACCATTCCTAACTGAAAAAGCAATATACTCCAAAATTACTCCTATAAAAAGATTAATGCAGAAAATTCCTCAAATGGTCAATATTTAATAATTTAAAACTTAAAACTTTTCCATACCAAAGTCTAGACATGCCCAGAGGTGTAATCAAAAGTCCAGACTTGGCAGCTTACACCCTAGGAGAAATCATAGTTAACCTAAAAATCAAAATTTAATAGAAGTAACCAGAATAACAATTAAAAGAAATGACCAAACCATAAACACCAATACATCCATATTAAAATTCAAAACACCCAAACCACCATCTGAAATAAAAATAGGTTCTAACATTACAAATTTAGAAACTTACATTACTTCTAAGATGTCATAACTGCCAAAGATTTGGCCATCATAAAGGGAGATGTGCTAGAATTCTGGTGTGCCTAAAATGCAGCAGTACAGATCATCAAGAAACTGAATGCCAAGGTGCCATAAAATGTAGAAATTGTAATGAGAACCATCCTACATACCCACATCTATGTAAAGTTTGGCAAAAAGGAATAGTTAAAATCAAATGTAAGATAAATATAACTTTGCCTGAATCCAGGAAACGTGCTGAAAATAACACTGGACAAAATATTCCAATAAATTATGCAAATGCAACTAGAACCCAACAACACTGTGGCGGGACATATGATCTCTGCAAATGAACAACGCTAATGTAAGTGCTAAAGAAACTGAATTGAAATAATGAACACTGATAACAGGGAAAAAGCAACGATTTACATTGCAACCCATTCTAAAATCTGATAAATGCAATCAAAATATAGAAAATTCTAACTTAATAAACATAGAAATTAAAAAGCCAAAAGTATCATCTCATTCCTCATCTACAACCCAAAAAGGAAGATCTCCAAACAAAAAAAGCAAGAAAACTCACAACCCAGTCAAAAAGGAAACCCTGTAAGGAAGAAATCACCTAAAAACAACCTAGAAAAAAAAAATGGAAACTTAAGATAACTCAACAAAAACCAAAACTCTCAATATAAGATTCATAGCTAACAAAATAATTAAATGGAATACAAGAAGGGTAAAAGGAAATTGAAATTAATTGCTTTTGCTTATTGTAGACTTATGTGCTGTATTCATCTGCCTTCAGGAAAACTTTTTAAAGGACAATGAGAATATAAATATTAACAATTACACATCATATAATTTTATTAGTAATAGTGGAAATAGAGCTTTGGGTTCTTCAATATTAGCAAAGAACTATATTGCCCAGAGCAAAATTGACCTGAATAAAGTACTATAGACAGTGGCCATAAGAGCCACAATACATAAAACCATCACCTGTTTACATCCCTCCTAACAATCCTATAGACGGAACTGAATTAGAAAAACTATTAAAGCAGCTCTCAAAACCATTTAGTTTAATGGGAGACTAACAGCTATAACATCATATGAAGTTGCAAAAATACTAACCAGAAGTGCAGACTTATGGAAGACTTTATCTATAGAAACAATTTCTGCTTCTACAATGATATCTTATATACCTATCTCCACCCATCAAGCAGTACATATACTGCAATAGATCTAAATTTAAGTGATCCTGCAACATACCTAACCTATTACTGGAAAGTACATTATGATACATATGGTAGTGATCACTTAATACCATACTGGAAACTTATGAAAGCCAACTGGAAAGAATTTAAAAACATTTGTGCCCTAAAACTCACACCAGAAGCCAATGTAAACAATGCAGAGCACATCACTTATTTTACAAAAACACTTCTTAATTTTGTAGAACAATATTTACCAAAATCAAAACCTAAACCTGTCAAACACAACATACCAAGTTTTAATGAGTGTAAAAAAGCAATTAGATTGTGTCATGTGGCTCTACGTAAGTTCAAATTACATCCAACCCAAGAAAATCTGAACATGTACAAAATAAATAGAGCTAGAGCATGCAGAAGAATTGAAGAATCCAAGCAATCCACTGGGAAGAACTTTGTATCCAGTATTAATTCTAACACCAAACCCAAACGGTATGGAATATGATTTGTAAAATTGCTGGGAAAAATGAAAGCACTCCATTGAGACATTTATGTCAAAATAATATCAAAGCAACTAACAAAGAGGATATTTCGAATTTATTAGCACAAAACTTCTTGAATAACACTAGTAAATTATTCCAGAACATCAAAATAAATGAAAAGAAGAAAAAATTAAATTTCTACTATAACAATAAAGAAAATTACAACCGGCTTTTCTTACTTTACCAGAATTATTAGATTCTATGAACAAATCCTACATACTCAGTGGTTGGCCACAGATGAAATTTAATACAAATTTCTAAAAATCCAACCAAATATTTCCTTGAACTACCTACTCAAAAGGTTCAGTAATATATGGGTCAGTTGTAATATTCCTAGTTTCTGGAAACCAGCTACCATAATTCCAATCCCAAAACCTGGAAAGACTTAGAAAATCATTTAAACTATTGTCCAATCACACTTACAAGTTAAGCAAAATGTTGAAAGAATCATTAATAATAGGGTTGGTTTCTTGAAGCTGATAATAAAATTACTTATTTCCAATCTGGTTTCAGAAAGAACAAAAGTACAATCGACCACCTGATTCAACTGGAGTCTTTTATCAGAAATTAAAAAGGAACATTTAACAACAGTATTCTTTGACCTAGAAAAAGCTTCTGATGCTACATAGAGATATGGTATCATGAAAGACTTAAATTAAATGGCACTTAAAGGAAGATTACCAGTTCTTATCAATACCTTTCTGACAGAACAAACCTTTTATGTTTGTATTGGCACCTCACTTTATACATATGAAATAGGTGACCCTCAAGGAAGCTTGTTATCAGTAGCACTATTCAATGTCAAAATAAATGGCATCATTAAATTAGGTATCTTCATCAGATCGATTTTAAAAAAAAAAAAAAAACAGCATGAATAAAAAAGTCCTTAAATTTGATGAAAATAATTTTTTATTGCCTAAATGTTTGTTATTATCAAGAGGTTAGATCAAAATAATTTTTGACTATTTTTTAATCATTCCTAGAACATCCAAAATTTTCATTAAAAATGTTGTTTTTCTTTTTGAATCAGCAAATTTGACAGAAAATCAGTCATCTGCCATTTTTTTTCACGTTTGTTTACAAAAGTGAAATTCTCTTTTAAAAATCAATTATAATTTTTTCAAAATTTAATTTAAGAAAATTAGAAATTATAAAGTTTAATATATTTGGAAGCAAATATTACTTGCTTTCTGCACTGAAAAAATGTACTTTAAAATAAGAGAAAGTCGGTCTTAACAGCGGTGTTGATTGACAAGTAACGTGATGATTTCATCACACACTGACATCTTACATGAGGAAAAGTTATCATACAGAAGGTCAGAAGTGATATAGTTTAGTTTTAAGTGAACCAACTTATTTACCTTGTTATTTTTAAGGAAAACTATCAGCGCTCTAACCTTCGTTTTTTGGTATTTAGCTTTCACCTTTACGTTTACGATGTTTTATAGAAAAATATAATACTATAAAAAAAAAAATTAAATAAGACATGAAGAGTGAGATAAAATTTCGTAAGAAAGGTACCTAATTAATTAGGTACCTTTCTTATGAAATATTATCAGTAGTGTATATTTTATGTACATTTATTACATTTTACAGTATTATTTGGATTTCCACTCATTTTATTATTAATTTTGATATTTCATTTATGGAAAAATGACATATTTGAGATAATATAAAACTAAGATCATATAAATTTCATAATACTTTGTAGGTAACCTTATGAGCTGAAATGCTATACATTTTTTCTCTTTTGTTAATTTTTTTAATCTTAAATTATGACAATATTGAAAAGGCATTTTTTTTCTAATAG